TCTTTATTTGTTGGTGAGTCTTGGTTTGGTGTAGCTTGGTTTACTTCTTCCTTGCTGTCTTTAGTCTAGTCTGCCTTGGAGTCTGGCTGAGTACCTTCTACTAGGGGTTACGCTATTCCGGCGTCAACTTCCATCCCTAGTTCGGTTGTGTCAGTTAGGTCGACTGGGCAGATATGATGACTTCCAAGAGTAAACTCTGCGACGAAGTCTATCAAAGATTGGGCTTTTATTGCGGTTCTGGGTTGGAACTTGATGTCGAATTGTCCCAACTCTACTGCCCACTTCAAGATTCGCCCAGAAAAGTTCGCCCTCTCAAACAAAGCTTTTAGTGGGAAAGCTGTGAGGACGACTATGGTGTGGGTGTGAAAGTAGTGTGCCAATTTCCTGGAGGCCATCATCAAGGCTAATGCCAGTTTTTCCAGTGGCAAATACCTTGTTTCGGCTCCCAGCAATGTCTTGCTGACATAATAGATGGGCAGATGTTGAATTCCTTCCGCACGGACCAGCACTGCGCTAATTGCGTGCTGAGAGACTGCCAGGTACAGGAAAAGCTCTTCTCCTGGTATTGGGGTGACCAGCAATGGTGGAGAGGACATGTATTCTTTCAAGCTTTCCAGAGCTTGGTCACATTCTTCGTCCCATTCGAACTTGGCTTTTAAAGCTTGAAAGAATGGTCGTAGTCTGTCTGACGATCGACTTATGAACCGATTGAGTGCGGTTGCCATGTTGGTGAGATACTGCACTTCTTTTACTGAGTTTGGTCTCTCCAAATCTTGAATTGCTTTGATCTGGGAGGGGTCCGCTTCTATACCCCGGTTGGTCACAAGGAAGCCCAGGAATTTGCCAGATCCTACTCCGAATGCACACTTAGATGCATTGAGGCGCAACTTGTGCTTTTTCAGGATTTCAAACATCTCTCCTAGGTCCTTGAGATGGTCATTCTCATCTTTGCTTTTGACCACCATGTCGTCGATGTAAGCCTCCATCGTTCTTCCTAACAATGGTTCAAACATCTTGGTGACCATTCGTTGGAATGTTGCCCCTGCGTTCTTCAGGCCAAAGGGCATGACCTTGTAATAGTATAGTCCTCTCGGAGTTGTAAAGGATGTGACCTCCTGGTCTGGTTCATGCATGGCGATTTGGAGGTAGCCTCTGTATGCATCCAGAAAGCTAAGTCGGTTGTGCCCCGCTGTTAGGTCTACCAGTTGATCTATCCGTGGTAGAGGAAAGTTGTCTTTTGGGCACGCCTTGTTGACTGTTTTATAGTCGACGCAGACACGCCATTTGCCATTCTTTGTTGGCACTACGACTGTGTTGGAGATCCATCTTGGGTAGTGCACTTTTCTAATTGCTCCTGACTCCAGCAGGTTACTTACTTCTTCCGCCACTATCTCGGCGTGGTGGAGTGTCGATCTGCGTGTGCGTTGGATGATTGGTCTGGCGGATGGGTGGACGTTAAGTTGGTGATAGATGAAGTTTGGATCAATGCCTGGCATGTCGTAGGGCGTCCAGGCGAACACTTCGATGTTAGAGGTTAAGAATTCCAAAACCTCTAATTGTGCTGGACAACGACGAACCGAGCAAAAAGAACTTATCCGGGTTCTCTTCATCTGTTCTTACCTCTACCAAGTCTTCCATCGCTTTTTGATTAGCTGCTTTGCCTACATCTGTGAACAGTTCATTACTCTCAGGTTCTTCCACCGAATGAACGTATCCTTTGGCAGCGCGGCTGTCGTTTACCGTGACAAAGCATTGCTTGGACATAATCTGATCTCCATAGACCTCTTCAATTACACCGGTGTCGTTTGGGAACCGCATTACTTGGTGGTAGGATGACGCCACCGATTGCATGGCATCAGCAATGTTCTGCCTAGGATGATGTTGTAAGTGGAGGGGACCTTCAATACCCAGAACTCCACTTGTTTCGTCACGCTTCCTGCTCTGATTGGAAGAATTATTTTGCCGACGGGCCATTCTGGCATGGAGTTGAACCCAATTAGGGGAGATACGGCAGGCGCCAAGTCTTTGTCTTGTAGTTTTAATTGTTTAAATGTTTCGTAGTACATGATTTCACATGAACTACACTGGTCAATCAGAATCCGCTTGACGTCAAAATCCTTGACTCGGAGAGTGACGACTAGGGCATCATTGTGAGGGCAATATATCCGTTCTAAGTCTTTATCCGAAAAAGACATGACGTTTGTTGCCTCTGTTTTTCCCTTCTTGATGGCAGGTTGGGCACTTAGCACCTCTCTTATGTGTTCAGCCTTTTTGATTGATCCTCTGAGCTCGCATACACGCTCAGGTTCAAAGACTCCATGTATCACATTGATAATGCCTTGAGGCGGGGCGTCAATCGGCATCCCGTTGGGGTTATTATGGTCCTGGGGGGCTGGTTGCGTTCCTCCTTCAATGTATTTATCCAGGTGACCGGCTGCCACCAACTCCTCTAAATGCTGTTTCAATGGTGTACAATTTTCAGTGCGGTGCCCCTTTTCTTTGTGGAAGGTGCATCGCGATCTTTTGTCATAGTCTTTTTGTGCTTCTCCTAGCTTAGCTAGCCACTTGACGAAAGACTCATCGCGTATTTCACTCAGAACCTGATAGATTGGTTTCTTGAATACTGTGGTTATGGCCGTGCGGACCCTCAGCCATCTTTTATCCTGGTCCTCTCCGTTGTCTCGTCTGCCACGTCCGTTTCTGTTAGGTCGATCTACCGTGTTGACCTTTGCTGAGGTCTTCTTTTCTGGTACTGTGGTCGCGCCAGATTTTGCTTTGGCACGTGCGCCATCTTCTTCCACCCTGATGTGCTGATGCACTATTTCCATCAAGGCTTCCATGGTAAGGGGTGGCGTTATGGTGATCGACTCCCTTAGTCTGTTTCCGACTGGAAGGCCTCTTTTATACTGTGCAATGGCGAGATTGGTGGGGCAGTCCCCAATCTGGTTAAATGTCTCCCAGTAGCGACTATTGTAGGATCTTAGGGTCTCTTTGTCGCCCATGTCGATGGAGAGTAACTGGTCAATCTCCATCAGGGTTTTAGTGTTTGTTCTGAACCTTGTGACAAACGCCTCTGCCAATTGCGCCCAAGAGGCTATGCTGCCTTCTGGAAGTTTCTCAAACCAAGTCAAGCCTAGATCGCCAAGGCTTGACGGGAAGAGAATGCACATTAGAGCCTCGTTTCGTCGATATACCGCCATAACCTGGAGGAAGTGGCTTAGGTGAATGTAGGGGTCCGTCTTCCCCTCATACGTAGTGAATTTGGGCTGAAGGAAGCCTGTAGGTAGGGGCGCGTTTTCGATTGCCGAAACGAACGGCGAGGTTTGCAGCCTTGCTAATGCTTTGTCCGTCGGTTCGTAGGCAGGGCGTGGTAATGGCATTCCAACCTCGATGTTTCCATGCGATCGAGGAGTCAATCGTTGAAGGGCAGAAACTTTGCGAGGGTCGCGCGCCCTGGTGTCCTCCTTCCATCGTGCCTTTTCTTCCAGCATGATCCGCAAATCGGATGATCTTGGCAACTCCGTCTGTTTGGATGATGTTTGGTGTGAGTGTGAGGGTCGGTAGGTACTTCCCTCTGTGTAAGACCTTAATGATCTCGTTCTCTCAGACCTGGAGTAACAAGTTCTGGAGGTTCCAGACTAAGTATCGCCTGTCCTGAGGCTTCTCCTTTCTGCTTGTGATGGCGTTGAATGCCTTCCATGGTCTTCTGAGTGGCGAGGGGGCGTCTTGTTTTTGCGCCCCTCTTCTGTCGCCACTCTTTTTCCCTTCATCTGGCGCTTTAAGGCTTCCATGTCGGCCGCCATCTTCCTTATTAATTCGTCTTGCTCCTTCACGCGGTCCTCCAGAACTTGAGGATCAATCCTTCGCCTTTGCCTGTCAAGACTTTGTGAATGAGAGTCACGGGGGCTGTGAGTCCGCCTTCCCCTAGTGTCTCTTCTGGGGTTATGCCGTTGGGACTCCAAGTCCGCCATGGGAGGGATAGAAGGTAATCCTTCACGCCTTGCGCCCCCATCTGGAGTTTGTCCGTCGATGGCGGACTGTGGCAATTCTTCAATGTGTGCCATTGTTCCTCAAGAGGTAAAGCTTGATCAAGAGGTTTTGTCCTGTCTGTTTTTCCCACAGACGGTGCCAATTGTACGGGAAAGAAATAAACCTTCTCGTATAATCCTGTTGATCAAGTCTGCGCTCCTCTGTACGCTGTCGCTTTATCACCTGAAAACACAAACGTGAGCTAGCCGGCGGGTGTGTGCCGGAAACCTCTCTGATGCCTAAGTCAGTAAGCTTGACAAATAGACAAAAGCTGTGTGTATTCAGAAAGCAAAGTTGTGTGTTTTTTTTCCAAAGGTGATGTTTGTGAGCTTTTATAGGTTTCGTGTGGCACAATCCTAGTAGGACTTCTACTTCTCCATGCAGAGTCCTCCTAGGATTCATATCCCTGAAAGATAATGCTTATCCTTCAACATCCCCCTCACTGCTTAAACCAAGTGAGATGGTTTTTACAATGGCCGAACTCCAACATGACCGAAGTAAACATGACTATGCATAGCCGCAGAATAAGCCGAACTAGCTCTTCCTTTTACTGCTCTTACGTCGGCTTCTCATGCACAACCCATGGCGTGGTCAGACCGAACTAACATGTCATGACCGGCGTAACTCCAAGACCGGTCTAACTCCAAAGTACCGTTAGACCGATCTAACTTCGATCTTCTGGTGGACCGGACTAGCTTCACGGCCTTAGGACCGGACTAACCTCAGAATATCCACACGACCGGAATAACTTACATGGCCATTTTACTCGGCCCTTTGTACTGCGGCCCATAACGGCACATTACCCAGCTCGGCCCAATTTTCACATAAATTACCCTCTCAGTGACCTCCACCAAGCCCCCAATTGTGTGTTTTTGAGAGAGAGAGAGAGAGAGAGAACAGGTGGCAATAAAAAGAAGAAAAAAGAGAGAGTAGATTGCAGTTAGCGGTACAAAGGGAATGAAGGTCATGACATGGAGAGAATAGGGTTGAAGGGTGGCATCAGCATCAATGGCAACAACAGTGGTGGAGTGGTAGAGATGGTGGGGAAGTGATGAGTGGAATGATAAATTAGGATTTTGGATTTTTAAGTTTTGAGTGTTTTTTGGTAATTTTAAAAGGTAATAAACAAAAAATGAAAAATTGGGACTACAACGAGGTGTTTTTGTGGTGTAAATAGAAAAACTCATTAAAATTTTGGATAAACTACATCGGCACCGTTTGTACAACTACAAAATCACACCGTAACTTCCTCTTATTTGAAATTACATTGACCTCTCTAATTAGATTTCACCGTTTAATGCAATAATAAATTTATCATAAATTCCAACACAGGTGGTGAACGTGGAGATTGAAGATGGTAGTGTTTATCGTTAAGAGAAGATTGAATTAAACAAGGATAAAATGGGTACTTAAAAATAAATTTTGACCACATTAGCAAAAATGTTGGGGCAACTCAACGTTGACTGACATAAATGAAATTTTGTCATTTTAAATTTAAAATAATGGAGGTTAGTGATATTTCACAGAAAAAAATTTGAATTATATAGTGGTGTTAATACGGTAGCAATTGGTAGCTCGAGAGCTTTGGCTCGAAATTGGCTCGAAAAGTGAGAGAGAAGGAGGAGGAGGGAGAGGGAGAGGCTGGAGGAGGGCGGAGGAGGAGGAGGAGGAGGGACTGGAGGGGGCCAACATATCGGGGGGGAGGCGGAGGCGGGGGGCGAAGGCGGAGGAGGGGCGGAGGCGCGGAGGCTGCGACGACGATCGGCCGATGCGGGGCTGCGACGATCGGGCAGAGGCGACGGCGGAGGGCTGCGACGGACGACCTGCCTCCTCTCTCTCTCTCTCTACCAGAGCAACACTCACCAATTGAAAACCTAACACACTCCGCGATCATGGCAAATATCACAGCACCAAACAATATGGAAAGAAAACGGTTAACACATTGCAAGCTGTATGAAGGATATAATAGTAAACTAATTCAATTAAAACACAATAGATGGGACTTCATGGAATACTTTGTAATTTAAATAGGACTTCACACTTAATAAGAAATTTCTTAGGACTTAACATAGTATAAGTCTCTCTAATAGGACTTATAAATAATTTTTCCATATTTTATTAGTATAAAGATATAAAATAAAAATTTATTAACCCTTGGGATTTAATTTTTCTTAAGTTCTCTAATTTTTCGAAGTTAAATTCTAACCAAAAACCCATTAGTAACGCTTCCGTCCATAGCAATACATTAAGCATTTTAGAAACTGCTTCAAAATATAAAATTAAGACTTCGTTTGGGAGGAAGGGTTGGGTTGGGCTGGGTTGGGTTTAGGGCTATTTTAGCTTCAAAAAAGATAAAATAGACTTTTTAGCCGAATAAGACAAAACATTATATTTAACCCATAATTATTACATAATTTCTCTCACAAAAAGTTAAAAAAATCAAAAAGCCCTTCCCAAACGAGGCTTTTTACCCTCATGTTAAAATAGCCAAAAAGACAAAAAGCCAAAAAGCTAACCTACTTCCCAAACGAAGCCTAAATAAAATTGTGTCAATTTTCTTTTCTTTCAATGTGTAAAATTTATATTTTTAGAATCTATTTTTGGGTGAACTATCAATAAATTCCAAATAGTGATCTTATTAATTATTTGGTTCTATATTTTTTCTTATGGACCCAAAGGTCCCATTCTAATGTGAATTACATAAGGGCTAAGTATAAATGCACGTATGTTATGTGTTGAGAAATAAATGTGGGTTTTCTCATAATATTGAAATTATTAAACGTAACATTTAAAAAAAACTCTTTACTGTATTTTTTTCAAACGTAACACTCTAATATAACACTCCAAATACGTAACACACTAAAAAATTCTTTAGTGTATTTTTTTCTCAAACGTAACAACGTAACATTTTAAAAAAAACTCCCTAATTTATTTTTCCCAAACATAATACTGCAATCAATGTAATACACTAAAAAATTCCTTAGTATACTTTTTTCAAACGTAATGCTCCAAAATAACATACTAAAAACCTCCTTAATCTATTTTTCTCAAACGTAATACTCTAATGTAACACATTTAAAAACTCTGTAACGTACTTTTTTTAAACGTAACAACGTAACATTCCAAGAAAATTTCTTAGTATACTTTTATGAAACGTAACACTTCAATCAATCTAGCATATAAAAACTCATTAGTGTACTTTTCTCAAATGTAATATTCTAATGTAACACACTAAAAAATTCCTTAAGTGTATTTTTTTCAAACGTAACACTCCAATCAATGTAATACACAAAAGCTCCTTAGTGTAATTTTTCCAAACATAGTTCTCTAATGTAACACCAAAAAATCATATTAACAGAAATGTAGATTTTCACGTTTGATAACCAATACTTCACTACCAATTTCCTAAAAAAGAATCTCCAACATCTTACCTTTCCATTTTCATTTAAAAAATAAATCAAAAAATTAAAAAAATAATCAGAAAAGGACATTCAATTAAACTCAAATGACATCATATCATATAAATACAACTTTTTAAAACAAAAAAAAAAAAATTAATTCATTAAAAAAATCTTAAAACTAAATGAATCAATACACCCTTCTATGAAATTTATGAATAAATTTTTCATCTATCTATTTTTTAACAACCGAATAAGATAAGTTTAACCCCCACATATCTGACCCAAAACAAATCACACAATCATGTCAAAACAGATCACCTCTATCATAACATTGCAAGATTATAAATATAAGCCCAATGAATTTTTTTTTTTTATTTTAGAAAGGCAAGCCCACTGAAATTGAACATATATAAACAATATTATAACGACGACGTGTTGTCTACGCATGTGCAGCCAAAACAAATAAAATAAAAATAAAAATAAAAATAAAGAAGAAAGAGAAGAGAAAGGAAGGTTGTGTTTGTCTTCTTAAAAAGAAAGATTAGAAACACTGTTTATAATGAGTGTAGATTACACTAACATCCTCTAAGATTTAAGAAATATATATTAACAAACATCCTTTAAGATTTGAAAGGGAAAATTAAAGAGAACTCTTCATATTCCTTTTTGTATAGAAAAATGAGTTGGACCCCTCAAGGAGACACTCCCTTTGACCCCCTCTCTCTTTAATTGGCTAGTTTTTTTTATTTTTATTTTTTTTTTTTCCCTTCTCCTCCAATCACCACCCGCCACGTGTGTGTGGGGGGTGGTGGGAGTGATGATTGGAGGAGGTCTCAATCACTTCCCATTTTGTATAAGAGTTTAAGGACAACAAAAATTAGTTTGTTAGTTAAGGTCTCTAAGATTTAAAATTGTAGAAGAATAAGGACAAACTTTGACATACATAGACTAAAATGCCCTTTCAATCCTATAAACCCTAATTTTTTTTTCTCTAAATGAGATCTCTCTCTAAGATGTATCTCTCTCTCTCTCTCTCTCTCTCTCTCTTCGATGTATCTCCAGCTTTTGTGATTTTGATTCTAATTTGACATTTGGGTTTCGATTTTATGTTCAGATTTTGATTTTGATTTGTGATTTCTTCCGATTTCAATTCCAATTTGTGATTTTTTGGATTTCACGTTAGGATTTCAAATTTTGAAAACTTTATATGAATTGATTTCAATTCTAATCGTGGTGTTTTCGTTCCAGTGGAGGTGTTCGTACTTTCGATTTCATTGTTCGATAGTTTTGTTTTGGAAGATATGTATTTTTATAGTTAATTCTCTGTTATTGAATATACGTATTTTTTATTATTATTTGTATTGAAGCTTTTTTGTAGTTAATTCAGATTTTGAAAGCTTTATTCGAGTTGATTTCGATTTTGATCATGGTGTTTTTGTTCTAGTGGAGGTGTTCGTACTTTCGATTTCATTGATAGAGAGTTTTGTTTTGGAAGATAACTTTTTTTATTTGTATTAATGGAAAAATAGTTTGTAGTGATTGAATTTGACAGAGAGAACAGTTTAGTGTGCAATATGTTTATGATTTGTAAATTTCTCTGGATTAGTTTTTGTGTATTGGAGTAGTGATGTATTTTCTTTGACATGTTTATAACTTTTTAATTTTCTCTGGACATGTTATTTGTGAATTGGAGCAGTCTCTGGATTAGATTTATGGATTGGGAAAATTAATTGCAATTTGTGGAATAGTTAGCAAATAAAATTTTCTCTGTAATTTTTTGATTTGAATATGTTTTTGTTTTTGTGATTTTCGAAGTTAATTTAAATTTATAAGGTGAGTTTGTTATGTGTGTATGATTTGTAAATCTCTCTCAATTATATATTGTAAATTGAACAAGTTGTTTAGTTTTAGTTATTTTAGTAGAGAGAAGTTTCAATGTTAGATGTTTTATTTGTTAAGTTTGTAAATTTTTGTGTTGTGTAATTTTCTCCAGACATATTATTTTATGAGTTAGACAATTTTGATTTGGAATTTCTCTGTATTTTTTTTAATGTGTTTTTATGTGATTTCTAAATTAATCTGAATTCCACACGTACTAAGTAAAATTTTGATGATCTAGAAATTCCATGTCTCAAGAGCAAGTAGTCAGTGAAATTCCACATATACATGAACAACCATGAATTCAGATAAATTTCATATCTCAAGGGGGTTGTAATGTATCCAGTAAAATTCAAATGCACAAGAGAGTACTAAGTAAGTGTGCGATGGCCAGAGAAAATGAATATACGAAAGAAACTCCATGAAAATGAACATGAAAATGGGAAGAAAATCAATTTTTTTAGCTTGGGGAGTGTAATGTGGCTAGAGAAAATCAACATGAAAATGGGAAGAAAATCAATTTTTTTTGGCTATCACACAAAGAGAAATTTAGCTTAGATTTTTTGACAAAGAAATCAATTAAACAAGAGGTAATGTTGTTACAAATTTTACAACAATGACAGAGAATTTTAGCCTAGGTTTTTAGCCAAAGAAAATTAACTGAATACAAATTTTTTTGGCCATCACACAAAGAGAAATTTAGCTTGGGTTTTTAAGCAAAGAAAATCAAAAGAACATTGGGTAATATTGTTACAATTCAATGCGATGATAGAGAAATTTAGCCATGGCTTTTTTCCAGAGAAAATCAATTGAACAAGGAGTGACGCTTTCACAAATTTCTCTAAAATGACAGAGAAATTTTAGTTTTACAAATTTCTTTGGCCATCACATAAAGAAATTGAGCCTAGGTTTTTCTCTATTGATCGTGAAGAGAGAATGACGCGAGGGTATTTTGGTCAAATAAACTTGATACAAATGCACATTTTTTTTACGGACCTGAGCTACTATGAACTTTTTGGGTGTCCTTTATCCTCTAAAATCATCATATTAGGAGCCTTAAAAAAAATCTCCTTTAAGAAATATATAACAAGTTTCACAATTTTGATAAAATTATATTAATTTTTTTTTTTAAATACGGAACTTGAACTAATGCAAACAATGTAAAGACAAATATAAAATAATCCTAAAAAAAAAGAGATACAAAGATAAAAGGATAAACAACAAATATCTCTTGAGATTTGCTTAAAATATGGATTGTTCCCTATGGTTTGGAAAATTATAAATACTCTATTGTCAGAATTTTTTATTTAACAGAATCTATTGAAAAAAATGAAATTTATAATTGCTCTTCTATACAATAATAAAATAACCTAAATTATTAATTAAAATAAATTTCTGACATCATTAAAAATTATTACTTGATTTGATGATTTATTAATAAAAATGACTATTTGTTATGAAATTATAAACTTTAAGGGGTGAGATGTAATTTTTAAAATAACAGAAGCAATTTGTATTTAAGTAAACCTCGAGAGATGTATTTGTAATTTATCTAAGATAAAACAAGATTGCTGCTATTAGCACTTACCTTTTTTTTTGGATCCCCCATCTCTTTTATTTTATTTTTAATTTGGGCAAATTACAAACACCCCCCTCGAGATTTGGTGAAAATACAGATTCCCCTCTAAGGTTTGAGAAATTACATCCCGCCCCCTGAGGTTTATATTTTCATAACAAATTGCCCCATGAGGTTTTTATTTTCATACAAATTCCCCCATAATTTCCCCTAATTTGTTATGAAAATTTGATCCTCAAGAGGCAATTTGTAATTTCTCAAACCTCAGGGGAGAATCTGTATTTTTACCAAACCTTGAGGGGGGTGTTTGTAATTTGCCCTTTTAATTTCAATTTTGTCCAAACATGAAGTTCCATTTTACCCTCATCCCTAACCTTATAATCCTAATTTCTCACACCCTAACCCTAGCCATTCCCAACACCTCCGATCGTCGCCCACCCTTCCTGTCACTATTTGTCACGGCCAAAACCCTAGCCTATTGTAGTAGAAGTAATTGAATTGGAGAAACCAAAGCCAATAAACCCCCTAAAAGTCCCTGAATCGTTGATTTCATTGAAGGAGGAGAGCAATAAAGTTGTAGATCTTTCACATTCCAAGAGAAAGGCTCTTGAGTTCATCTACTCACCTCTCCCGCCTTTTCCAGTGGTGATCAAAGTAGAAGAGCCACCACCAACCCAAGAGATTCTGACAGTAACAATTGAACCTACTTCGGATACTGCACCAAAACCTTCAAATACTGAAACCTACATCTTCGAAAAATCAAGGATTGTCAAAGAAATTGCACCGAAACCCAAAGAAAAGTCACCTGAATTGTAGAGAAAGAGATTGCTGAGACTGCGAAGATTGAGATTACTAATTCCCCACCTAAGGAGATTTCTATTTGGCGTGTGCCATTGCTCAAGGACAATAGAACTGATGTAATTTTACTAAAATTCTTACGAGCCATAGATTCAAGGTAAGGGATGCACTTGCAATTCTCAAGAACATAATCCTTTGGAGAAAAAAGTTCAATATTGATGCCTTAATCGATGAGGACCTCGGTGAAGATCTCGAAAAGGTTGTGTTCATGCACTGTTTCGACAAGGAATGACACCCTGTGTGTTATAATGTGTTTGGTGAGTTTCAGAATAAGGAATGGTCTCGTCGTTCAGACATAGAGGGGAATAGGTCACTGGTGAGTGGGTTGCGAATTGGCTGCTGGAGGTAGCAGCAGTAGTGCTGGAGGTAGCAGCAGTAGTGCTGGAGGTGGTTGTCGGGTATTGGAGCTAAGGTTTGGATTTAGGTTTGGGGTTACTGGTATAATTGGTATTAAGGTGGGGTTTCAAAGAGAAAAGGGAAGGGATTCATTTTGTTAGATGGGTGTTCAAAGTGTTAGGTTTTTGTTATTGGCAATCCCGTTTGACAAAACTCTTTTCAGTTGTAATTTATTTATTCTTTTATTTCAGTGAGGCTATGAGTATTTAGATGCGAATCCAACTCGAATTGTGCCTATGCAGAGCAGAGGAGTTTGTGTTATTAATCATATCATGTTTGCCACTACACTGACTATGTCGGGGATCGAGCTGAACTGTCTGCACAAGTACTGGGAGCTGTGTTTTTGTGCTCGAGCGGTATTTCCTGCGCTCTAGCGTAGACCCTTGTTCTGAAACATGCGTTTTAGTCAATCCGCTCGAGCAGCCATTCTTGCGCTTGAGCGGAGATCGTAATTTTGATTACTCTAAATCTGCGTTTCAATATGTTTTTAGAGTACGGCTTCTAGATTTTCTTCTTGTGTATTAAGGTTTTCATCTAGAGTTTCTTTACTTGTTTCCTTTGATATCTATGAGAGTTTAATAATGAATTGAGTAGATTATATCAAAGGGTTTGTTTTGTTTGTTTTATTTATTCAATACAAAAGAGAGAGTTGTTCTTCGGTAGATTCCGGAGAATTTGGGCCTGAAACTTTGGTGGATTCTAGAGTGGCTCATTGTCGTGATTCAACATCGGCGTTATGGATTCAATGTTGGATAAGAAAATTCGAAGGTGAAGACAGTGTTGGAAGAGACACATTGGGGTCGGTTCAATTTAGACATGAATTCGCTAGGTTTAATTTCAATTTTGTCCAAACATGAAGTTCCATTTTACCCTCATCCCTAACCTTATAATCCTAATTTCCCACACCCTAACCCTAGCCATTCCCAACACCTCCGATCGTCGCCCACCCTTCCCGTCACTATTTGTCACGGCCAAAACCCTAGCCTACTGTAGTAGAAGTAATTGAATTGGAGAAACCAAGGCCAATAAACCCCCCAAAAGTCCCGGAATCGTTGATTTCATTGAAGGAGGAGAGCAATAAAGTTGCAGATCTTTCAAATTCCAAGAGAAAGGCTCTTGAGTTCATCTACTCACCTCTCCCGCCTTTTCTAGTGGTGATCAAAGTAGAAGAGCCACCACCAACCCAAGAGATTCTGGTAGTAACAATTGAACCCACTTCGGATACTGCACCAAAACCTTCAAATACTGAAACCTACATCTTAGAAAAATCAAGGATTGTCAAAGAAATTGCACCGAAACCCAAAGAAAAGTCACCTAAATCAGAGGTTGTAGAGAAAGAGATTGCTGAGATTGCGAAGATTGAGATAACTAATTCCCCACCTAAGGAGATTTCTATTTGGGGTGTGCCCTTGCTCAAGGACAATAGAACTGATGTGATTTTACTGAAATTCTTACAAGCCATAGATTTCAAGGTAAGGGGTGCACTTGCAATTCTCAAGAACATAATCCTTTGGAGAAAAGAGTTCAATATTGATGCCTTAATCGATGAGGACCTCAGTGAAGACCTCGAAAAGGTTGTGTTCATGCACTGTTTCGACAAGGAATGACACCCTGTGTGTTATAATGTGTATGGTGAGTTTCAAAACAAGGAATGGTTTCGTCGTTTGGACGTAGAGGGAAATAGGTCGCTGGTGAGTGGGTTACGAATTGGCTGCTGGAGGTAGCAGCAGTAGTGCCGGAGGTGGTTATCGGGTATTGGAGCTAAGGTTTGGATTTAGGTTTGGGGTTACTGGTATAATTAGTATTAAGGTGGGGTTTCAAAGAGAAAAGGGAAGGGATTCATTTTGTTAGATGGGTGTTCAAAGTGTTAGGTTTTTGTTATTGGCAATCTTGTTTGACAAAACTCTTTTCAGTTGTAATTTTATTTGTTCTTTTATTTCAGTGAGGCTATGAGTATTTAGATGCGAATCCAACCCGAATTGTGCCTATGCAGAGCAGAGGAGTTTGTGTTATTAATCATATCATGTTTGTGTCACGACCCCAAACCCGCTCCTATGGATTTATGTAATAACCCTCGTCACTGTTTACCGAATAACCACTGATTACCGTTAAACTGAACTGATTATGACTAATAACTGAACTGATTATGGCTGAACAGTTCACTTATCAGTCATAAAGTACTGAACTGACTGACTGAATGAAAACTGGAACTGAATCGACTGAGTATGTGTGTTAATTTGTATTCTATCTGTTTGATTGTTTACTTGATCTGTTCATGTTTTATGTTCAAACTGCTAATTGGAGGCCTTATTGGCGCTCGAGCGTGGAATCCGAGCATCCAGTATTTCTCTGCACTGTTTTACAGTCCGCTCGAGCGGAGGATTGGGCGCTCGAGCGGATGCATGTGTCTCACGATCGAGCGGGCGTCGAGCCCGTCGAGCGGAGATTTCACCCATCCAGTACTTTTACAGTATGCTCGAGCGGGAGAGTTGACGCTCGAGCGTGTACCTTTGTTGCATGTCCGCTCGAGCGGGTAAACCTGCGCTCTAGCGAGACTCTGTTTTTCTGAAAATTCTGAAACTGTTTTCTGGTCACATCTTTGCATCCTCATCCCATTCTAGGCATTCTTAGACCTAGTTTAAGACATCTTGTTGAGGATATAGATGTAGAACACACCGAGGCAAATTAGGGGTTAAGTTATTATCTTTCCCCAACTGTGTAGCTTAGTGTGTTCAATCTGTTAACTGTGTAGGGCTGGCGACTGGGGAGACACGCTCTAGCATACTGTAGCCCAGAACTCTGTGAGTAACGATTGTGTAAAGATATGTTCACAAATGATTATCTGCTGAACAACTGAACTGTACTGTTTTCTGAACTGATTTACTGTTAACTGAATGAATGTATGCCCTATATTCTGAACTGTATTGTGGCATCCGTAGCACCTACTGTTTACTGTTATTGTGACAGAATTCTTTGTCGGTTCCCTTGTTGGAACCACCACTGTTTACTGACTGATGGTCATCATTACTGCTCGGTCTTTTAAGACCTACTGTTTACTGTACTGTTATGCTAATGGGTGTACCACATATGACTGTACTGACTGAACGACTGAAATACTGACTTAATGAACTGTTTTCATTACTGCAAGGACATTCATTCTTAACCCCTTTACGCATTATGTTATTCACTGGGCTTTAGCTCACTGCTTATATATATATGTAGGTGTATAGGCACCAGACCGGAGCTAGGAGCGTGGGTTAGACTCCCTTTTTGTCAAGCCAACCACTGTGCCTCACTGCGAGGTTCCAAGCCTATGAGGCCTATTGTGTAAGGCTTAGGGGTGTTTTACAATCCCCTTCTGTATTGTACTTACTGTGTTGTAATTAACGAATGGATTGTTATACGCGCATGTTACTGTACTGTTATGTAAGGATGAAGTCCCTAGTCTGAATGATTGTGCATTTTGTGCATACTGTTCTGTACTGTTTACGCTACAATGTATGAAAAGTCTTTTGCATACAGACTGTCACAGCTCATTGGACATTGTTTATTTTACTGTTTTGGCTTCCGCCAGGCCTTGTACTCTGTTTTTACTGTACTACTGTTCTGCAGGCCTTCTGGGTAATCTCGGATTACTGGCCGGTTACGGTGTTAAACCCATAGGGCCGAGTTGGGTCGTGACAGGAGTGGTATCAGAGCGATACTTACCACGAGTTATACCGCACACACGTGTCCAAATGAGCTATAGGGTGTCCTAGAAAAGTGATTAGGGCATCTCATGAGCTATGATAAGTGTGTGGTTATTGTTATGACTGAATATATGCAACGTGTTAAACTGTTAAACAAATGACTGCTTATGTTTAAAACGGTTATAACTGCTTATAGTGAAATGGATAATGCAAACACTGCAAAAGAAACTGGAACCTCATCCTCTGAGGCCAGAATGGCCAGACTGGGAACAAATGATGGAAACTGATAACTGCAAGAACTGATGACCTACAGATATTGTACCATCCGGGAAAAAGCCAAAACACCTCATGCCGATGATTGGAGCCGGATATCAATTGGAAACTTAGCGTGTTTGCTTACCGAACAGAAAGAGTTTGCTTTGTGACCTTGAAAAATCTGAAAATTGAAATTGTTTTGCTGAGAACAAGGTGGAACCTTTAGCTGTTATTCTTGCTCAACCGGCAACTATTGAAGAGATTAAAGAAAACAGCAATTGGATGACTTTCTTGAAAGAAGATCATCGAGGAAAGAGAATCTTAAACCAGAGACCGGGATTCAAATTTGAGAATAATGTACTGAGAATTTCAAAAAAGACTTGTTGGTGTTACCGAACGATACTGAACTGAAAAGAATGAGTCTTGCAAGAGGGCCACAACTCAAAAATTTTCTATCCCTCCAGGTGTATACGCAAAAGTACCCAAGACCTGAAAACTGAATTTTCGGTTGGCCGGGAAGAAGAAAGAAATCGTCACGAAATTTGTATCAAATGTTCTCATTGCCAACAAGTTAAAGCCGAACATTCAGACGACCCGCAGCTTATTGCAACCCTTACCGATACCGGAGTGGGAAATGAGAAACGATTATCACCATGGATTTAAGGGGGTTGCCCTCGCTCCAGTAAGTTATGCGACTCGATTGGATTATTGTTATAGACTGACTAAACTCTTGACTCATGTCTTCCTGTACTCTGTATAAGGACCAATTATTAATGCAATAATGCTGGATAACCGATGCGCTATCTATTGCGATAAATTGTTGACGCATGGAGTTTGCCTTGTCCCGTTGTTTTAGGGTACGACTTTTAGATTTTCTTCTTGTAGTTAGCGTTTTTTCATCTGGAGTTTCTTATGTTCCTTTGATATTCCTATGAGAGTTTAATATGAATTGAGTAGAATATATCAAAGGTTGTTTTGTTTTTTTATTTATTCATACAAAAGAGAGAGTTTGTTTCGGTGGATTCCGAGAATTTGCATGAAACTTGGTGGATTCTAGAGTGGCTCATTGTCGTGATTCAATATCGGCGTTGTGGATTCAATGTAATAAGACAATCGAAGGTGAAGGACGTGTTGGAATAGACACATTGGGGTGTTCAATTCGGATATGAATTCGCCCTAGGTAATTTGAGAGTACACTGGGCTAATTTCGTATGTCTTTCTTAGTGGATTGTTTGTGGCTTTGGCCCATGATTTTTTATCGCAATTGGAGGTGCCTCTAATTTGTAATTTTTCCACGTTTAAAAATTCGTTTGTGTTGTTAGTCTTTGATTGGGATTGTTATTTATTATTTTAAAATTGATACATAATCACAAATTATATCTTTCGAGATTTTAGATTTTTTTCACAAAAGAAATAGGGTGAACCAAAGTAAAGCGCGTAAATACTAATACAGCCCTCTAAAAATAATGTACAATTGTACATCAAATGTCAAATACATAACAATATTCAGGTTTTGAAATTACTAATGAATTTGTGATAAAAATGAAGGATAAGTGTTTATGTTAAAAGAAACTTAATATAATTTATTTTTCCAAAATTAGGATCCTTCTTATATTTTCTCAAGATCTTAAGGAAAGTTATTATAATTTACCGTTATAATAATTGAGAGCGGATTGCCTCTAGTCTAAGATGAGGGCACTGTTTTGGGTCTGTCGAGGGTC